GGACATCCGCTATCTGCAGAATCAAGCATGGTTCTGATATTCCAGCAAGCTAATTTAGGTACACCTTTGGAGGCAGGTGCGTGCCTTTGTCTTTTGATCTTTGTGCGACCGCACTGGAAGAAGATGCCCGTTGGCCTGCGGTTAACCAACCGGGTGAAGGGGAAGATGAGCTTTGTTTAGGCCACCTTTTCTAGGCCCCTCTCCGAGTGGAGCAAGTAGTGCTGTCCTTGAAAAGGCTGCTTGGTCATTCAGGGTGCTGCCCCAAAAGACTGTCATCTCCGGTCAGTCTCAAATGACCCATATCCTGAACCGCCTGCATGCAGGGTTGGGTCTGCGGCTTCCAGTGCACCTTTCACCTGCCGTTTCGACCCTCGCCCGTCGCTACAGGGCTTTTTGCATGTGGGTAAAGCCTTCAAGCCTGCGCAGTGGATTTTTTAGGTGAGATGCAGTCTGCGTGGAACTGAACCCACCCTTTAATCCTGAGGTTCATCTGCCAGGGCCGAGCGAGTTTGGACGGTGGCAGCGAGGTCCTCAGGACGTAGGTTTAATTAGAGTAACCTTCTCTTAGATGGATGGCCTTACGGGGCTAAGCGAGTTCCATCTGCCCGGGTTTGGGATTAGAGTTGTCCTTCTCCTAGGATGATTGCCAGAAGGCTAACGAGCTCATCCTGCCCAAGGATGTATTGTATCTGGCCCTGCGGTTTTGACCTGTCTGGCATGGGTGACCCTACTGAAGGCATGTACCATCGCCAGCATAGCTCGCAACCGCATAGGATTACACAGGCTACGCTCCTACTATTAAAACGATTAGGGCAAGTCTTACACTTCCTACTATTCTGCCACCTGTCTATATTCAATCCAAGGGAAACATCTATGGAAACACCCAGGGAAACACCCTTTGTCCTGACCACCCTTTCAGGACGTAACAAATATAACCAGAACATACTGAACCTGGGCAGTAGCCGCAGGTGAGCCAAAAACAGACAAATGAACAAAACTGTTCTGGCCACTGTACCCACCTAGGGCTTGAGTACCTCTCCAGGCATGAGCCTGGCCGAGATCCTCAACCCCCAGAGGAAACCATTGTCCACCCTGACCTTATCCTCCCCCTATCGTGTTACCACATATCTTCCCACGCACCGCTTACCTGACCACCCTCCAGTCCGAGGACACCCACAGCCCGCCCGGTACCCTTTCCCTCCCCCGCCCCCTCCTCCCCCCCCAAACCAGACCGGCAAACCTCTGGGTGCTCCGAGGCTTCCACTCTCCTCTCTCTCTCCTTTCTCACGAGGGCACAAAGCCACGCTGGCGAAGCTCCCTCTCCCCATTCCCCGCTGGGGGTGAGGGGCCCGGGGGCGGGGTGGCCCCGCGGAGCCGCGCGGGCTTCCCAAGGGTGGCAGTGAGGGCTGAAGAAACAGCGCTGGGTGCTGGGGCAGGTCCCTGCCTCTCGGGAAGAGCATCCTTCCACTCCAGGGATTTGCCCATTAGTTACCTACACCTCCCTTATGCTGAAGAAGAAACCAGGAGGTATGACACTGGCTTTCCAGCCCTTCCTGTGCCTGTCTGATTTTCCTCAGCCCCTTTGACTGTGTTTGCATCTCTCCTATGCGGTAAAATTATCATATCAAAGGGAGCTCAAGCTCCCTCCACAGTCCTGATGCTGCCTGGGGACTTTGGAAAGAGGTAACTCCTGCTCTCCCTCTAGACATGGCAATTAAATCTTTCATTAGCTGCTTCCATTCTCCTTTGATAGGGACAGATGAACTTGGACATAAGAACTGTGTTTCAGTATCACAATCCCAGCTCATCTTGACAAGAGCCCAGAACAAAAAGGGGAAGGGAAGGTGATCTGTGCTGCTCCTTGGAGACTGGTTAACATCTACCTACCAGCACGAAGAGGCTTTCGAAACTCTGGGAGTACCTCACCTAAAGCATCAAGTCCTGAGTAAATCATGGAATCGCTGAGGTTGGAAAAGCCCTCGACTGTCATCAGGTTCAATCATTAACCCAGCACTGCCAAGGCCACCACTAAACCTGGTCCCTAAGTGCCACATCCATATGGTTTGTGAACACTTCCAGTGTGAGGTAAGATACGCACAGGTACCCCCAAAAATGCCAACGCAGTGTAAAGAATCCAAACAGGTTTATTCTGAAGTCGAGAACACTAAAAAACTTACAGAGGAAAGCTGCACCAACTGCAAACAGTTCTGGGCCTGAGAAGGCATGTCTCCTGTTCCTTCTTCAGGCTTTTTTATTGCTGGCCCCTCGGCTCTCTCTGGGCCGTGGTGGCCCTGTAACATATCCGTGAACGTTATCTCTCTCCTCACGTATCAGAGAGAGAATCTCTCTGTAATGGAGGAGAGAGAACAGCAACTGTCTTGAGAAAGTGGAAGGAAACCTTTTCCTAAGCAAAATAACCGATTCCTCGTAGTAAAATCTTCTAGAAAAAGGGCATTTACCCCTATATCCAGGAATGGTAACTCTACCACTGCCCTGGGCAGCCTGTGCCACTGCCTTACCACCCTCTCCATGAAGAAATTTTCCCTAATCCCCAACCTAAACCTCCTCTGGTACAACCTGAGGCCGTTTCCTCTCATCTTGTCACTTGTTACCAGGGAGAAGAGCCCAACATCCACCGAACTCCCTGAGCCTCCTTTTCTCCAGGCTGAGACCCCCAGCTCCCTCAGCTGCTCTTCATCAGACTTGTGCTCCAGACCCTTCCTCAACTCCATTCCCTTCTCTGGGCATGTTCACTGTCTTTCTTTTTGTGCAGGGCCCAAATGATGTGGCCAGCCACCTTCTCCTGTCTGCTGAGGCAACTTCTCCTACCGAGACTTCCTTTTAAAATGACAATTTATTGATCTTCCTGCCTGAACTTTCTCCTTAGCTCTCAGCATTTAGCATGGCCCTCAGAGGGCCCAGTCCCTGTGGGGATGGGCTCTGGGTGACAGATCTGAGTGGCCATGGTCACTGCTTTGCTTTGGCCAAATACAATTGCAGTTGGTGTGTGCCAGGTTTGTCTGACACTGAAGATGAGGCAGAGAGGGAGACTTCAGCCAGTTGTGGTTTGGGGACCCAGATCAAGAGGCACCCATGATCTCAGGCCTTACTTAAAACATAACCCTATGGCTCCTTCCCTGTAAAACAGGGACAATGAGTCTTGCCTTCATTGCAGCGATGGGACAGGCCAGTGAAAGTCAGGAAATCTCTGGAAGCTTCTGGAGAAGCCCAGAGCCTGCCCCAAGTGCCATGCACAGGCTGGTCCGAGGGGGCCAGATGTGGTTTGTATGAATATTGTCTGCACTGGAAGTCTTATACAGCTGTTTAGGGCTGCTGGACACTAGGAAGGATGAATGCTGAAAGAAAGGAGAGGAGAAAGGAAAGAACAGGCTGCACGTGTGCCACAGCATGCCTTTGCTCCTGGCAGCCTTCAGCACTGAGAGTGGGCAGAGACTGCCCAAAAGGGGCTCAGAGGCTCTGAACAGTTGGACTAACATTTATTTCCCAGTGGGTATTTGGATGGCTCCACAGCTGAGGGCAAGGATTGCTGGCCTTGCTTTGGTATTAGCAAGAACTCCCAGCCTGGGTGTTATCCTCATGGTGCAGCTGGAGGGAGGGAGTGCTGGAGGGGCACAGCCATGGGCAGAGCTGGCATCAACCTCTTCCCCCCATCCTTAGACCTTCGCACCTCTGTCCATGCTCATGGTTCCCAGTGTCCCCCTCCCTCCCACCTGCCCTGGCACAGCTGAGCTGTGCCCCTTCCTAGCAGAGCTCTGCACACCATTCACTGTTGCAGTGATGCTGCTGCTCTTCACATCAGCAGCTGCAAGGTAGAGAAACAGAAAAGGAGCCTTTGGCCCACTATCCTGACACATTTAACTTACACAGAAAAGCCCCAGCAGCTCTCTGTGCCCTGTGCATGGGGACATGGCACCTACAGGTATGTGGCCTCCCAGTATGGTGCTGTTGTGCTGGGACAGCACCAGCTGGGGTTCCAGAGAAGCAGCAGCAGAGCTGGGCTGAATAGGGGCATCACCTACATCTCCTGTCTGCCCCTGTACACCTGAGGCTGTCCTTGCTTTCCACCATGGCTGATCAGCCTGATCCCTGTGGGACTCCCAGCCCCAGCCCTGCCCGGACAGACACTGTAGCAAGTGTCTGTGATCCAGTGGAGTGACAGCGCTGCCATCCTGCAATGGTCCTTGCAGCCTCCTGATCCCTGCTGGAGCTCCTTGATAGGACAAGAGGGAATGGCTTCCCACTGACAGAGGGCAGGGTTAGATTGGATATCAGGAAGAAATTAGTCCCTGTGAGGGTGGGGAGGCCCTGGCACAGGTTGCCCAGAGAAGCTGTAGCTGTCCCATCCCTGGAAGTGTTCAAGGCCAGGTTGGATGGGGCTTGGAGTGACCTGGGATAGTGGAAGGAGTCCCTACCCATGGCAGGGCGAGGAACAAGATGAGCTTCAAGGTCCTTTCCAACCCAAAACCATTCTGGGATTCTATGATTCTGTGTTACTGGAGCTTGGTGAAGAGCTTGGCTTTAACCCAAAATAATTCCTCCCGTGCCATGGCAGAGGCAGGCTGGAAAGGCTGCTGAGAGCCCTGGTAGCCAAGAGCAGCATCCCTGGGAAAAGAGCCCCTGTACTAGCTGAGAAAAAAAACGTGTTGTTCTGAGAGTCCAAACAGCACATTCCCAGGGCTCAAGGTTGCGTTTTGCTCCATCTCCACATCTGCACCCCAGGGAGAGCATGGCTGCCCTGTGGCACGTGTCCTGGGAGGATGCTGGGGCAGGGACCACACTGGGCCATGCTCTGTGTGTGCCGGAAGCCTGGCAGGCTCCGAGGATCTGTGGAAATGTGGCTGTGCTGGCAGTGCTCCCAGGTGAGCTGGGGACATGGCTGTCAGGGCCCAGCGGTGTTGCTGATGGAGAGCCATTCTTTGTGTAAGAAAAGCTTCCAGAGCAGCTTCCTCCCTGACCCTCCTTTTTTGTTATATTTTCAGAGAGTGCTGCAGGGAGATGCTGGTCTCTCAGAAATCATCCTGGCTGGAAGTCAGCTGGAGGCCAGGCTAAGCAGCACTGCTGTAAGTGCCTTGACAGGTCTCTTGTCTGGCTGGTGCTAATCCCTCCAGATTGAGAGAGAAGGAAACTGAAGCAAACCTCACATTTTAATGACCGGGATTTGCTTATCATATTTTCTCCCTTCCATATTTTCTCCCTTCTCTCTTCCAGGGCTCCCAGGGATTCCTTTCCCCTCTGTCAGGAAGGACAGCGCTGAGGCCATGCTGAGGTGGACAGAGTGGTGCTCCCCATGCTGCCAGCCCTGCTGCAGTGCGTGTGGCTAATGCTGAGTACCAGGCATTGTGTTTTGGTGGAGCTGGGCCAGAAAGGAAGAAAAAACCCCATAAAATCATGGAATCATTAAAGTTGGAAAAGGCCTCTAAGATCTAGTCCAGCTATTAACCCAGCGCTGCCAAGCCCATCACTAACCGATGTCCCCAGCTGCCACATCCATGCACTTTTTGAACACTGATATGAAGCTCAAGGAACCCCTTGGCCAAGTTACTTCACTCCTGCCTCAGTTTCCTCTCTGCGTGAACTCTCACCAGGTGCCTTCCAGGGGCTGGAGAGCTCCGAACTGGAAGCACTGCCTGGGGATGAGCCATGCTGGGGTGATGAGCCTGGAGCACAGAGCAAACCCCGTGTCCCTGCACACCCCTCCTGGGAAGGAGGGCAGGCTGAGGGGAGCCCTGGTGTTTCCAGAGGAAGTTTTCCCTGCACAGATCCAACAAGGCTGCGGTGCTAGCGGTTCTCTGCATGTTCATGCATCTGTGGTGTAAATTGCCTGCCAGACACCCAGGCATGGGGCACAGAAAGGCTCTGGAGAGCAGACTGGGAACAGGAAAATGGAGCCTTGTTTTAACCCTGCTGCCTTTTGCAGAGGCTCCTTTCCGATGGGAACACCAGCTCCCCTGTGCCCGGAGCAGTGAGTGGGTAACAGCACCCCTTGAGGAGGGGAGGAGGAAGCTGCCAGCTACTCGCCAGGCTGCTCACCCCATGGGAGCAAACTGCTGTGGGTTCTGCTGGGAAAGAAGCACTAATGGAGCTCCCCCAGAGTCCCAGCACAAATTTGGTTCCTGGTCTGGAGAGACCAGTGACGTGATGGCCACTGCCCATCACCAGGTACTCCAGAGGAAGCTGTGGGCACCCCATGTTACTTGATGGGGAAAATCTGCATGCGTCTTTAGGTTTCCTCTGGAGCCATGAGCAGCACAGGAATCAGTCACCAGCGGACAAGCACAAACACAGCTGCAAATGACAACCCTGCTGCTGGGGAAAGCAAACGGAGTAAGAGCAACACCGAGCTCTTCAGAGCAATTCATGCTTCCAAACACTTTAATGCACATCACCTCACTAATCCGACACTCTCAATGAGCAGTTCTTGTCAGTTTGATTTTGCGCAACTTGCAAAATGTACCTTATTTCACTGTAAAATGAAAATCCCAGTCTTCTCTTTTACTTACTTCTTATTTAGGAGATAATTCAACAAAAAAAGGCAAACCAGATGGTTCTTCCTTCCTCTCTACCACCTGTTTCAGGCAGAGGGGATGGCATTTGCATCACTCAGCTGCTCTGCAGAGCTCAAATGGTCTCTGAGCATTCTCACCCTGTTCCCTGAGGTCGTCGTGTCTCCTGTGTGGGACCACTGGCCTCACCCTACAGCATGGCCACCCCTTGGTGGCCACTGGGGTTAGGATAATAGTTTCCTTGCATGTGGATTATTGTTCTTAGTGCACCTCGAATTGTGCAGCCTTTGTATAGGGGGCTGTTCCCTTCAATGTTTCCTGTTGAGCTTGAGAGCCCCAAGGATGCAAACCCCATCAATTCTAGGCTGTTGGTTGTTGATTTTCACATTGGAGCTGTTTCTGTCAACAGCACATGCTCCTCTTGCACATCAAAACCTACACTTGAACTGGTGAGTGATTCACAATCATCCACAGTGTAAGGAATTGGCAAAGAAACTGTGATCCCTTATTTAGATTTACGGGATATGGACTGAAGGAGTTAGTCTTCCAACTTGATCTGCTGGACTGCTTTGGTCAGCTCTTGGAATGCAGCTGAGCAGGGGCCTTGGTGGCACCAGCTCAGCTGCTGTTGGCCTTGTACAGGAGAGGGGGTTTGTCACCATGTCACCTTTCAAACCCAGTGCTGGGTGAGGTGACCTTGGTTGTGAATGCAGATTAAACTCCAGACGAGGAGGAGCAAAAGCCACATCTCCAGCAGATGATGTCTGTTGTTTTTCCCCAGGAATGGAGAACACAACTTCATCTTGAGGGCTTTTCCTTAGGAGAAGCCACTCCAGTGCTTGTGCTCATGAACTTCTGAGGTGATTGAAAATTGCATTCTTAGAAATGAGACGAGGAATTTAAAAAGTCCGAAGACTACTCAGTTCAAAATAACTCCTGTTTTTGAGAGCCTGGACTTTGACTTGGGAACCCTTCAAAGCACCACAAGCCATGTCGTCTGGCTGGAAAAGTGGATGGTTTAGCCAGGTGAGCTCAGGTGAGCATGAAAGTGCTCTCCTCAGGGTGCCAGGAGATCACTCTCACCTTCTGCCCTGACAGTCTTGATGGGTGGCAGTTGCTGGGGTGTCCTTGACTGAACTAGCCCAGCTGGTTGCCTCTTCTCAGGATGTCACTGAAAGCCACCTGGGACGGGGAGGTCACCTGGGGCACAACACCCATACCCACAGTCTGAGTTTGCTGGGCTGTGTCTGGGGTAACACGTGAGAGGCTGCTGGCCCTGAGTGCTGCTGTGAATATTTCCCCATCATGTCACAACAGGGGGGCCCTGAAAGCCAGCCCAAATGAGTGCACTTGGGTGAGAGGAGGGCATGATCCTCCTGGCATCAGGAGGGGTTATGGGCCTGCTTGCACACTGCTTAGGGGTGCAGCCTCAAGGCCGTGCCTTTGGAGCGAGCCAACTGGAAAAGCAGCAGCCCAGCAAACTCTATAAGGTTGTGATTACCGTGGTTGAATGTTCTGGTTCCTTGCTCTCTGGTGTCACAGCTGAATACTGTTTTTACTCATGTCTCCCAACCATCATGCACAAGACAACAGCAGTGTGAGATCTCCCCTGCCATAAGCTGGGAGAAGCTACAGCACAGTGGCCCTTGACTATGCAGAAGGGACCTTGGCAGGGTGCAAGGCTCTGCAGGGAAGGATCATCATAAATCATCCCAAAGATGTGGGAGGAGACAGCACTGGGCTGGTCCAGTCCCCCTGTCATCCTCTTTATTTTGAGAGAGAAGGAGAGCAAGTGTAAGGGAGCTGCTTCTACCAACCCCTGAACACCATGACCTCATGGACAGGCTTGTTCACAGGAGGTGGAGAATGACCCATGTTTGTACTACCCCCTTGCCATACCTCAGTTTCCCCTTATGTAGCCCAGCTCTCTCTACTGCTGACCTTGGTACAAGGCTGTTGTGCCCAGGGATGGCAGGGAAGCAGATCCCATTCACGCTTGATGATTTAAACTCTGGTATGAGCAGAAACGAGATCAAAACAGGCCAAAGTTCCCTGGTTTTCTCATGAGTATTCCCCTTAATGACTGCAGTTAACCCTCTTTGCCCTCACTTAAGATGGATCTGGATTTTTTTGGATGTTCTTTTATAGGACTTAATTACCTCTACGTTTCCTCTTCTCCCAGCCTAGAGGTCTGGCACATCTGGCCAGGCTTGACTCTGTGGTTTTTGTTCTCTTCCATCCATGCTATCTTTGCTGTGTCAATACAGCATTAGCCCACTTCTCTGATGAGGGCCAGAGTCACTCCTGACCCTCTCCCTGAAGCCCAGAGCAGCTGTCCAGGACTGACCTCTGCTCCAGTCAGGCAGTCCCTGCACTTCAGTGGCATCAGAGCCCCTTTTCCTCCTTGCTTGCACTTGCCCTTGTTTCTCAGCTGACCTGCCTTTCTGAGAACACTCCTCTCCCTTCCACACCTCCGGCTGTGCTCATGATTCAGATTGATCCTTTCTCTGGTTTAATTTAATACAAGTTACTTACATGATATATCTGAGCTGGGCTCCCTCCATACTTCTAGAACCTTACTGGGGTGTTTTGGGGGTATTTCCAGGCTCCAATGGGCCTTGGAGCAGGAAGAGAAAAAGAAAACAATTCCTGAGTTGCTCGATGGACAGCAGCCTAAAACCTTGCAATGAGCCTGCCACTGCATGTGTGTGGGGAGGGAGTCGGAGCCACGTTGCCGGGAGGCTCCAGTGTGGCAGGAGGAGTGCACCAGCTGGAATGACACAACCTGCTGCCTGTGTTCACAGCATGGCAGGACCAGAGGCTGTGCTGGTGGCAGGACACGCATCCATCTCTCCAGGGGAGGCTGGAGTTGGGATCCTGCACACCACAGCCATGTATCGGCAGAGCTGAAGAGGTTGGAAGACCACTAGAGGAGTGGGACCTCTTCCTGTATCACAGAGGATCCACAGCCCTTTTTTTACGTGTCTGGTGATGTTAGATAAATTACTTGACCAAACAAAGATCCACAGAGTTGCTGAGGTTAGAAAGCAGTGCTGGAGCTGTCTTCAGCAGGAAAAAATTCACCACAGAAACAGTGGTCAGGCATAGGAAGAGGCTGCCCAGGGAATCACCGCCTCTGGAAGTGTTCAAAAAGCATCTGGATGTGGTATGCGGGGATATGGTTTAGTGATGAACAAGGTGTTGGGTTAATGGTTGGATTCCATGATCTTAAAGGGTTTTTCCAACCTAAATGATTCTGTGATTCCATAATTCAAACCCCTCCCAAAGCATGGCCAATGGGAGCAGGTTGATAAGGGCCATCTTCAGATGGGTTTTGAGTAGCTCCAGTGATGAAGATTCTGCAGTCCCTCTGAACAACCCTCTCCCGTGTTCAACAACCTCACAGTAAAACAGCTCTTTCTACTGTTTAGGAAGGATTTTATGTATTTCAGTTTGTGTCTTGTTGCCTTTTCTCCTGGTGCTGGGCACCACTGGAAAGAGCCTGGATCTATCCCCTTAGCACCCAGCTTCAGTTATTTATATCCATTAATAAGATCCCTCACAAGTCTGCTCTGCTCCAGGCTGAGCAGTCGCAGCTCTCTCAGCCTTTCCTCATATGAAAGATGCTTCAGTCCCTCCATCTCCTTTGTAGTTGCTGGTGTACCTGTAGAAGCCTTTCTTGTTGCCTTTCTTGTTCCCTGCCAGACTCAGCTCTAGGTGGACTTTGGCTTTCCTGACCCCATTCAACACACCCGGACAGCGTCGTTGGATTCCCCGTGCATTGTCCTCCCTGCTTCCACCTCTTATACACCTCTTCTTTATGCCTGGGTTTTGTCAGGAGTGCCTTGTTCAAGCCCCTGCTACTTTTACTTGGTTACTTGCTGTTTTGCCAATCTGTTTTGCCCCCTCCCTCCCCCAGTAACGAGGATGGATTGAAGGAACACAGACACCAACTTTAAAGAATAAGTGTAAAAGTTTACTATAGTGCAAGACAGTAAAGAATTACAAAAGAAGCAGTGACTTATGAAAGGATACACTTAGCAATGCATCTAATCATTGCTACAAAGACTTACAGCGATTAAGAGAGAGATACCTCACCAGTTACACTAAGTAATTGTTGTCATCCAGATCACACTTCAACTGGAAAGGCCCCGGTCACAGCGAAGGTCTGGAGAACCTCTTCCCAGTAACTGGGAAATCCTATGCAGTGTGTCCACCCGCAGGTGAAGCCTCCATCTTTGCTGTGAGACGGTCCAGCTTATATAATATTAAACAAACCAGCTGACGTCATTCAACTGGTGCGGAAAAACAGCCTGGTTTTCTTCCTCTATTGGTGTTCCCCTTAGGCCTGGCCAAGGCGCAGAGGGAGACTGAAGGAGTCGATTTGGGCCATCTACTGTCAAATGCCCTGTGGCCTTGACTAGTCACTAAATACAGAACTAACGGCTACATTGATATCTCAAATATGAACCAGCTATGACTACGTGAGGCCCTACCATTTTTCGTGACCTTGGCTGCAAAGAAAAGGCATATCTGTAACACATACAGGCCTTACTAATTAATGATAACATGCTGTGCTAACAAGCATAAATGTATATTCTTAAGGCATTACTAAGGATTATATGGCATCTTGGTTAATAAGCAGATATATGGCTAAATACAATACTAGGCTAGATATAATATTAGGTTGAAGAGTTCATCTTATAAGTCAGCTTTGGCTCAGAGCCAGTTCTAAAGGCCCCAGCATTACACCTGTTTGTCAGAGGGGAGTGGAGTAGCTGATCCTGAATCATGTTTCCTGGACACCTAGAGAGCTAGGACTGCATCCTGTGGTCTCTTCCGAGCAGATCCCTCAAGAGGCCAAAGTCTGCTCTCCTGAGTCCAGGTTTGTGACCTTGCCTTTTTCTCTGCTCCCTTCCCTCAGGACTCTAACCTCCACCGTGCCATGTTCTCTTCAGCCAAGGCTGCCCTCATCCTTCACATTCCTCAAAATGTTTACAGGTCTATCAGTGCCTTCCCTCTTTGGATCTTTGTCACCCACATTAGGAAATTCTTGCCAGAGTGTTCCAGAAACCTCCCAGATTGCCTGTGCCCTGCTGTGCTGTCCCTCCAGACGGTATCACAGGTGTTAAGGTCCTCCATGAGGACCATGCCCTGCAAACAGGAGCCTTCTTCCGGGTGTCTGAAGAAAACTTCATCTTCTGCTTCCTGATATGGAAGGCTATAGCAGACATTCAGGAGTACATCACCTGAGCACCAGGAGCACATCAATTTGCCTTCCAACCAGGATACTCTTGACTGACTCATTATCCATCCCAGGGCAGAGCTCCATGCATTCCTGCTGCTCCTTCAGACAAAGGGCAGCTCCCTCTCCTTGGTTTCTCACCGGGGGAGTCCTCCCCATCCATGGAATGAGACAAGGATTAATAGGAAAAAAATTAACAAGTATCACTAAAAATGTGGCCAAGTGCCAGGGGAACAAGTGGGCACAGCCAGCCCTCAGCCTGGCACCTCTTGGCTGCAAACTGGACCTTCCTACCTTGCTTACAGTCTCCATTTGGACATGTCATTGTATTTCCCATCACATGGGAACCCACTCTGACAGCCGACATCTGGCACTCAGAGTCTCTCCCATTTCCCTCTGTTTTTAATCTCTGTCTGGACTCTCATTCAATCTTACATTTAACTCTTCCCTGTTTTCTGACAGCTTTGATAGCTGCTCAAACATGGCTGTATTCCAAATTGCATGTCTGCTCATGTAATGCCTGTAATTTCCTGCCAGGTTTTTTAGCCTTCTCTGAGTAGACTACAGTTTTATGATGAGAGTGCTGCACTGCTCTGTTCCCAGTATTCCAGCTGGGAACGTGACCGCTGCCCAGGCTGCTTCCCCAGACACACTCAGCACCTGCTTTGGGAAACAGTCCTGAGAAGAGAAAGGCTCCTGTGTTTCTCCCTATAGGATATGTCTTGAACATGCAGTGTTTGTACAGCTCAGAGATGGTGTTTTCCACCCATTTGAAAGGGAGGCAGAGTTGTGTCTCCTGTTGTTTTACTGGTGGACACACCAATGCACAGATGGGGGAAGTGACTTGGCTATGCCACCCACCAAGTCGAGGGCTCCCAATCCCCCATTACAGCCTCATTTTTACGGACTGTAGATGCTACAGCAGGAAGTCTCTTGCCTGTAACACAACAAGCTTCACACAGCCAGACTTTGGAGGGATCAAAGAACAAATGCCATAAGTGTGCCCTGGGGCATTTCCAAGCTGGAGACCATTCTCTCTCATCCCCCAACACGGCTGGTGCAGGGACCTCCACCTGCTGCTCTGCTCAGCTCTCCCAAGGACTCTGCTTCCTATCAGCTTTCCCTGGCCAGATTGTGTATGTTCCTCATGCCATCTGCACTGCTCTCCCTTGCTGTAATAGTGGCACACGTTGGCGGATGAGGGATGGCTGGACAGGCTCTGGGCAGGCTCCTGGGACGGCAAAAAGAGGAGGAAGGACCACAGAGATGCCCTGAGGGCTGAAGCACCTCTGCTATGGAGACAGGCTGGGAGAGCTGGAGGCGTTCAGGGCTGGACTCTGGCGTGGTGTCCACTGGTGCGCCCCCACCTCTGTTGCTGCCCATTAGCAATACCTCACAGGAGTTGGATATACCTTAATGAGTGTTAGTGAGGTGCCTTATAATGTCTTCGTGGCATCTGCTCTGCCTGTGGGGCTGGTGATCCAGGCTGGGCACCACCAAATCTCTTCTGAAACTGGCACAGCCTGCAGCTCCCATTGCACAGTGCAGGGGCAATGGGACACTGCCTGGAGCTTCCTTGGATGTCCCCTCTTCAGTCCTTCCCCCTCTTGCTTTCAGCACTGATGGGTTATAGAGTTCTGGAGTTTCTCCATGGCTTTCCTTAGCCCCACAGAGATGTCCCACTGCCCAAGTTAGTGTCTTTCTCCAGTCTCAGCTTGGTGCTGAGGGTGGAAAGTCCATCCAAGGCACAGCAGGGCAACCTTTCTTGCTCTTTCTTACAGGTCAGGCTATATCAAACAAGTTCTTGAGCATGTCAGAGCAACCACACCTCGCAGAACTTGCCTGGCTCTTCAGATGCAGGAGGTATTTATCCCAGCTTTTGCCAGACTTCACAAAAGACTCCTGCATGCTTCTACCCTCACGTGCCATGGCCTGTGTGACTTGACGCCTTAAAACAGTCTCCACTACTGATGTACCACTGGGCTTCCAACTCGATGCTTCGGGAACAAAGGTAAGAAGAGAAGGTGACGGTGAGGAGGAAGAGGTGGTTCCTCCTTCCATGGGAGGAACCATGGAGAGGAGATCCAGTGCTTGGGTCTGGGGAGGGGCCTGGGGAAGGGAATGGGACACACAAAGTGAGAAGAGGAAGGCCCTCAGGATGCTGGGATTTCTGGATACCTGCAGTTCTCAACCATTGTGGTCCAGAAAGGGCTGATGGCTGCAGGTCCTGGGTCTTGCAGTGCAGCAGGTGCTGAGCTCAGCTCCTGGAGCTGAGGCTCCCAGGGCCAGGGATTTGCTGGGGGAAGCAGAGGGAGCAGGAGCCAGTGATGGGCAGGGGGAACTCGGTGGCTATGGAGGACACTGGGAGCCAGTACTTCCAAGGGGTATTGCAGTGAGGAGGAAGGATCTAGATTTCTAAGGAAATTGCCTTTGTTTGCCTTCAGAACTTTAGAAAACTGTGTTTTGATTCAAGAACAAGGCTAACATTCACCTTTTCTTTTCTTCCCTAAGCTGTCAGCTCAGGCCAAAACTGGTAATTGGAAAACCGGAAAACCAGAAAGGAAAGGGATGAATGGGAACCTGAGGCAGGAACAAGAGAAGAGGCAGTGAGGAGAGAGATGCTGGATGATGGTAAAGAAAGAAAGCAGAATAGGAACCAAGCATGGAGGCCTCCAGCCAAGCCACCCCATGCTTCTCTCAGCCTGTCAGTGTTTGGGTTTCTCTAAACTTAGAAAATTCCCACAAAAAGATTTTTTTATCTTATCACCAAGGCTTCCAAGTGCAACCCAAACTAAGAGACATTACATAGAATAAATGCTTAAACAGTAAACCCACAGAAGTCACAAGCAAATGGTGCGTTTGTTATTTCTATATTTACCCCGGGAGCTCCAGTGAGGATTGGAGGTACCAGTGGGAGAGGAACCACCAGGAATCAAGGGGAACTTGGTAAAGCTGTGAGGAAAGCAGGAAGGAGAGGACCACATGAGTGCAAGACTCATGAGAAAAGCAGGTTCAGGTTCCTGAAAGCAGAGTCCTACAACACCGGAGTAACATGGAGGCGCCATAACCTGAATTCTGACTCAGCATCCCCTTTAGTGATTTCATTTCAATCTGGGATTAGTTTTCTGTTTCTTCTAGGGTCAAAATGTCAGTGTTTGGTCATTTGCTTGGTGCTAAGTGGATCCTTCAATATTGAGTGCTTCACTCCACCCAAACTCTGCATTTCCTCACGAAATGAGGAACAACGCTCTCAGGCACACGTTGGGATTGTTGAGATGCCCTGTGCAGGGCCAGGAGTTGTACTCAATGGTCCGTGTGGGTCCTTTCCCACTCAGAAGATTCTACAATTCTGTAATTCTAAGCTGAGCATTTGAACTTCGCAGCAGACAAACCTTTGGCCAGATTCTGTCGTCTTTACCAATTTTCATAGCACTTCCAGTCCAGTAAATTGTGCCTCCTTGGCAAGGCTCTGCTGGGGCACATCTCCTGTTCCAGGTCCCACTGAGCTACATTGATCTGCAGCAGATGGCATGTCGCTGGTCTAACCAGGTTGTCACATCCCCATGGGAGCTTTCTGGGTGCGGAGAGGGCTGCAGTGTCAGTGTGGGGGCCCAGCCTCTGCATCCCAGGAGCTGGTGGCAGAGTGGGGAAGTGAAGGATGATGAATGGCAACAAAAGGATGAGCTGACGTGCCTCCTATCATCCTTTTGCCACCTCCCTCCAGATGTCTCAGCTCCCCTGATGCCTGTCCTGCTTCCTGGGCCCTGGATGTCACAGCTGCCCAGAGTGGGTCTGAAGAGAAGCCTACAGAAGTTCTGACTCATCAGACATCCCATCACAGAGGTGATTGTTTCCTCTCCTGACTCACTCACTGGGAAGCATCTGGGGCTGCACAGCTCAGGTGCACACCCAGCCTTGAGTGGCCCCAAAACTCAAGAGGCAAGACCTGAGATGTGCAGCCCAGGCTGGACCAGTGAGCAGCTTTCTGGCATCACTGGCCTGGCACAGCCTTCCCAAAGGCCTAATGGAGCAGCACCCTTCCCTGCTTCCTGGGGGAGATCTTCCCTATCCCCCTCTGTCAGCAGCTGTCAGCCATTCAAAGCTGAGCCCTCCAGGGAGAAGTGAGGGATGGGACCTGTATTTTGCAACCCACAGGAGCCCAGCTGAGGAGTGATGCAGTGGGAATGGGTTTGCTACTACCTCATTTCCCTCCCATTCATTTACTGGGGAACAGGAAACACATCCCACTCCATTTGGGCAACTTCCCCTGCCATGCCTAGGTGCCAGAAAGTTTGGCCATGGGAGACCAGTCCTCAGTGCTGTGTTGCTGGGCTGGTGCCATGAGCAGAGCAGCCTTTGCTCGCAGCCCCTTTTCCCCCAGTTGCTGGCCCTCATGTGCACTGAGATGCATTGGGGTGCCTTGACAGAACATGCAACAGGTATCCTGAGAGGAAGTTCAGCATCACTGGGGAAATCTCTGTGCTAGGTTATTCCAGCACAGCCAGGCCCATGGCCCAGGACCTGGGCCCAGCTCAGCCTGTGGACGTGGCAGTGCCAGCCACCACCTGGACCAGGGCTGTGCAGCGCTGCCAGGGGCTGCAAGGAGACAGAAGGACCAGGACCCCTGAAAGTGTTGGAGCAACAATATTGTCTTTCCTCTGGGTATCAAGGACACAAGGACTTGTCAAAACCTCGCCTGTGCCCTTGTGCTGGGAGCAGGGAGACCATGTGGCCCAGTGAGGGCAGGGTTGGTCTGGCAGGCAGAGTGCAGCACTTCCAGGGATTCCTCCCAAGCATCATGCTCAGATTCGTGCAGCCTAAAGCCATCTGCAGTGAGGGGGCGGAGAGCCTTCAGCACAAGTAGGAAGCACTGTCAAAAAAAGCCTCATCAGCGTTGTTACGCCAGTGCAATTATGTCAGAAACACAAAAAGGCATCGCCACCTGCAAAAGAGCAGGAGCCAGCTCTGACAGCCTCGGAGGTCCCACCCACACCACCAGTCCTCTGAGAGACAGGCATGGAGCTCCTGTCGCATCTCCTTGTGCTCACCCCGTGACCCAGCCTCAACCCCTGGGGCCGGTTGGACCCCCCACAGCTGACACAGAGGGTTTCTCCACTCACCCCCCTGCCAGCACTGCTCCAGTTCCTCAGGACCACCCCAGCCTAGAGCTCCTGTCAGCCCCCTTGGCCCCAGCATGAGCCCATAGCCAGGGAGAAGATGTGTTTCCTGCTCCATCAGCTGAGCCATGATGGGATTGGGCACTGACCCAGACTCGAGTCCTGTCCCGTGAGCCCTCCTTGTAGCTTCAAACCAGTGGGAGACAAGTCCTGCAGCCCAGAGACAGTGCCAACTGTCTCTGAAGAACATCAACTGCTGCTTGGTGTTACCTGCTCCCTGCCTTCCCTGCCTGTTGATCCGTGTAAGCTCCTGCTGGTGACTCTGGAAAATAAAGAACAACACTGAACAGTCCCATATCCATGCCAAGGGGAGGTCTTGCCTGAGCTCCGGGTGGTCCAGAGGAATGCAAACTTGCTTCTCGACACTTCTACTTTCCCGAGTCCATCCTGGTGACCCAAGCAGGCTGCAGGCAGCGTGTTGACATAGGCAGGCTCCGGGATCCCATCCTTGAACAATAACCAGTGCTCCTGTCTCGTCCGGCTGGCAAAGCACTACCCACCAGTCTGAGGCACTGCCCAGCCACCTATACCCTCTCCATGGAGGGTCTGCCAACAACCCCAGCAGCTGGGGTGTCCTGGGATACCCGGTGAGTACACGGGGACACTTCACTTCCCCCACGCCATGGAGATTTCAAATCTGTACTTCACTTGACTCCTGGCCTGACAGCCACAGGAGCAATATGTGCTCATGCACAAATCCAAAGGGATAACAACCCCTGAGGATGAGCAAAGCCCTGATGACAGCTGCCATGGCCTGCAGAAGCAATTCCTGCCAAACTGCTTATCTCCTCAGAGAGGATTTTCACTGGTGCTTTCCAGCATCCCTGACCTTGCTGTTACTGCCAAGGGCTGGTGAGCTCCTGCTCATCATCATCATCACCTGGGTGCTCATCTCTGCTCTGCCACAGCAGAGCTGCCACATTCCTGATGGCCACAGCTCAGCTCTTCCTGGCATCCCTGACACTTCCGCTCTGCATCATCCACGGACTTAGAAGGTGACTTCAGGAGTGAGCTTTTGGCTTCAGAACCCCAGCACTAGTGAGGCAGTACAGCACCAGAGACATAGAAGTGTCATGTTGAACTGACCCATATTAAATGTTTTGGATCTGTTTATCAAACTACAACAGCTCTTCTCACCTTGGCAACACTTGCTGACTGCCCATCAAAAACCTCCATCTGCTTTCCTTTTCCAGAAGTGACACCTCTGTTTTGTTCCTTGCAGTGTTCCACTTAATGAAAAGATCTGGTGTTTCCCTCTTTGGAATCTGGATGAATCGCATACAGGAAGTTTTGCGCAGGAAGGAGAAGGTGCCCACTGCTCAATTCAAGCCTTTGCTGGCTCCTGGGCATCTTGAGCTCCCCAGCCTTCCCTGGTGTGGATTCTGTGCTCCAAAAGGTTTTTTGGAACACCCATGTCTGGCCATTCTCTGAGCTCCAGGCACATCCCTGCTGGGGTAAATGAAAGGCTGAGAGAGGTGCGGTTGTTTTGAGCATGGAGAAGAGAAGGTTCTGGGGAGAGCTTAGAGCCTCTTCCAGTGCCTAAATGGGCTCCAGGAGAACTGGGGGGCTTTAGACAACGGTCTGGAGTGACAGGACAAGGGGGAACGGCTTCCCACTACCAGAGGGCAGGGTTAGATGGGATATTGGAAAGAAATTCTTCCCTGTGAGGGTGGAGAGGCCCTGGAACAGGTTGCCCAAAGAAGCTGTGGCTGCCCCATTCCTGGAAGTGTCCAAGGCCAGGCTGGACAGGGCTTGGAGCAACCTGGTCTAGTGGAAGGTGTCTCTGCCCATGGCAGGAGTTGGAACTGGATGCTGTTTAAGGTCCCTTCCAACCCAAACCATTCTGGGATTCTATAAATACATCTGTGTGTGCAAGAGCTGCAGAAGGGAAGGCTCAAGCTCGATTCGCTTCACAGCATGGTTGTCCAGAGTGGGACCTCATTTGATGAAGGACGAATCTTCAAGGACCCTGATGCACCTGTCCAGTAAAGAGAGATTTATTTCCTGTTTTAAAGGACTAGCAAGAAAAAACCAAGGGGAAGAAACAAGAAGGCTGGATAAAAACCTCGGGGAAGAGTGAGAAGGTGCAGAGTGGTGAGACAGCACAGGACAGTAATGTCAGTATAGAAGGAAGAGCCTGGGAAAAGGGAATAATGCAGCGTTGCTATACATCAAAGATGGATGTGTAAAGATGAACGTAGAGCAAAACACAAATATGTAGAGAAAAATCAAGCAGATTAAGGCACAAAATGAGTTCTGCCTAGATGCGTAAGCCTAGAAAAAGAAATAAGTCTGTCTGTCCAGGAAAGTCTAGATTAAGAAAATACTCAAATTGTTGAGGTGTGATAAAATTTACCTTGGCATACATAAGGAACTAGTCACAGTCATCTCTGACCTCAGAAAACATATGGGCACAGGTGAAGTCCTTGTGGACTGGAGCAGGATGAGACACAGCGTGTGGCATTTAGAAGGGAGAAGGGAAATACATTGGTCAGACTGACTTTTATGCCTGAAAAGATACAGAATGAAATTATTAAACAGCATATGCTAAGCCTCTCAAGGATTACACATGATAAGGAGCAGGCAACGAGGATCTGTCAATTGTACGTGTCGAACCAATCTAATGTTCATCTAATGTCCATCACTGAGGGGGATGCAGCCCAGCTGGA